TGGTGGAAACATAGGTTGATTCAAATATTTTGGAAAGCAATATAGCCATGCCTATTAAACACAAGGAATTGTGCAGTACCCTCTGATCTAATCATCTGACTTTGGAAAATGTGTCCTTAAAAAGGTGAGCTTAGGCTGGGCATGGTGACTCATGCCTGTAATGTCAGTACTTTGGGAGGCTGAGGCAAGGAGGGCGAATCACTTGAACCCAGGAGGTAGAGGTTGCAGTGAGCCAGGACTGTGCCTCTGCACTCCAGCCTGGGCAACACAGTGAGACTCTGTCTCAAAAGGTGAGCCAAGAAAAGACAATCTTTGTGCATCTTGAGAAGAGGTATAGAAGCTAGGAGTTGTTGAATGGTCACTCATGCTAAATACTTTGGATGCATCGTCTCATTTAATCCTCATGACAGCCCTTGAAGTGTCCCCATTTTACAGGTGAGAAAACAAGGCTCAGACAGATTTGTAACTTGCCAGCACCACAAAACTTGAAAGTGGCAGAGTCTGCATTTAAATTAGGCATCTGTCTAATTCAGACTAATCATATAATAGTGGAAAAACAGTTAAATCAATTATGAAATGCTTTGCAGACATAGGTGTCATTGTATGGGGAAATGCTCCGCTCAGTGGGCAAGAGCATGATATAAACCATAATTGTTAAGAATTTGTGCGTGGACTAGGTACGAATACAGACAAATGAAAAGCTAACTTGTGACAGAATTTGTTTAAATAAGTATTATTTTTAAACTGCTCTTTAAAAAAAAACTTGTTATTTTTTGTTTAAAAGTATATACTTTAGCATATTCATACTGTATATTCAAATATATTATTCATACCCCTATATATTTCTACATGGCATATGAGCTGTTCCATCATGTCTAGGTTCATCCTTTGTTCTGTCCTTATCACTTACCTCTTAACTCCTGAAAACTCCTCCCGTCATGATCCATCACCAGCAAAACACCTTATCCTTAAAGCCTTCTCTGAAATTACTTTTATCTTGTTAAACCCAAATTTGCATCCCTGAGAGAAGCCCTTTCAGGTGGCAGCTGTATTTCTTGCCCCAAAGTAGAGGAGTGTAAGTGGTCTCTTTATTCTTCCTCATCACCTTTACCATTCCATTCCGCTGTTCCCTAAAAACTCTTGGCTTTAAACTGCTTGTGCATCAGGATTTAAACCTCTTGTTCATCAGTCTATATGACCCACAACCCCGTCATTGTTAGTTACCTACCAAGCCTAGTATTCTGTCCTCATTGTGCCATCATTTTAGTTCCTGGCTCGCTGTTATTCTCTCCAGAAAGACTCCTGTCCTCATCAAGGAGGATTTTCCTTGGAAATATGATCCTTTTAATACCTTTGGGCTTCTCAATCCTTTAACTGTTTGCCATCTCAAACTTTAGCAGACATGGTCATTCTTTAGACCACATCATCACCAATAACCTTCCATTTTCTCAACTGCATGCACTGGCTTTTCTCCTCTGCATGGCTTTTGAGCTCACTCCCTCTACGGTCCAAAAATCAGCTCCATCAAAATTTATGGTCCATTGATCTCACTACGTTTTTCCTGGACCCACTTCCCTCCTGCCCAGGGTCTTGTGCCCATTTTATCCAGCTTAGGGTCCATGTCCAGGTGACATAATTGCCCCCTGTAACATCCTGACTCCTTTGCCCCTCTCACTTCTCATGTTCACTTGGCAGTCTCAGCTCTGGCTGAATCTGAATCTCTGGCTACTTTGTGCCAGCCTCTGTGCATCTGACCTTGGCTGGACAAAAGCACAACCGTACTCTGTGGTTTTACTTTTAATTAATGACCGTGAACCTCATGTAGGAACTTAAAAACTGCTGCCCAGCAGTCATATTATGTTGTTCACTCTGATTGGATTTTCTAACAACCTTCTCCTCTTTCCTTAACCTTCTAACACCTCCTCTCTCAACCTTATTCACAACTGATGCCTTCCAACTTTGGCTGGAAAAATTGGAAGCTTCCACCAGCTTCTGCTGCTTAATCTCTTGGGGCTGGAAATGAACAGCCTGTGCTCCTGTCTGAAGACAGTTCTTCCATTTCAGCATCAGATGCACCTTCTCTGCCTGCTCAATGATTGGGTTCCAATCATTCCTCCTGTCATCTTGTACCCCTCTGCTGGTGATTCCCATCAGCATCCAAGCATGCTTGTTTCTTCTCACATCATACTAAGAGAAAATAAAAACATTCCCTACATCTCACTGCAGCTTCCTCTCAGTAGACCCTGTTCTATCTCCCTTCTCTATTTTATAGCTAAACTCCCAAAATATCGCCTGGTTCCCATTCTTATTATTTCATGTTTCTCTCTTCCCAGGCTGTCTTCAATCCAGTTCAGCCAAGCTTTTAGCCCAGCTCTTCTGCTGCTCTTGTTGAATTCCTCAATTAGGTAAAAGTTGCTGAATCACATGGTTTTCATTCCTCATTTCACTGTCTCATCAGCAGCATTTGACACCCTCTCCCCGCTCATGGGAGGAATCAGATCACCTGGCTTCTTGGATGTACCCCTCTTGGTTTTCCTCTCACTCCCCTGGCCAGTCCTTCTCAGTCTCCCGGGACTCAAAACTTAGACCTCTTGTCTGTCCACACTCAAGCCCATGGTCATCATTATCAAAATGTCATGGCTTCAAATAGCATCTGTATGCTGATGACTGCCAGATTTATTATTTCCAACCAGATTTCTCTCCTGATCTCCACACTTCTGTGTCTAAGAACTTTTTGAACATCTCTGTTTGCATGTCCAATAGACATCTTAGACTTACCTGTCCAGACTGAACTCCGGATCCTCCCTTCACCCTCCAAACCTACTCCATCTTGTCCAGTGTCAGCTCTGTTCCTTCACTCGCTCAGGCTGGAGTCCTCATACTTTCTCACCACTTCCCAACCCCTGCCATGACATACCCGAATCATTGTAGGAGTCTTCTACCTGGTGTCGCTGCCTCTGTGCCTTGTACCTTTGTGGTCTTCTCAACATGGCAGCTGGAGGGATCCTTTTGTAGCCTTGGTTAGATCATCTCCTCTCCACTCAAATCCCCATTCCGCTCAGGTGAAGAGTACAATTCTTTAAAAGCCATATACAGTCTGACCACCTGTTACTGCTCTTTCTTTTTCCTCTTCCCTTAACCCCACTTGAGCCACAGTGGCAGCACGCCAGGCAGGTACCCACCCACCTGAGGGTCTTTGGGCAGGCTATTGCCTCATCTTACAATTCTGAGGCCTCCACCCGCAACTATCAAGCATGACCCCCGCCTAACCTACACCAAAGGACATCGTCTCAGCAATACCAACTGGTCTCCCTCCACTTTCTATCCCCCACACCCTGCCCTATTTTTATAGCACCTCTCACCTTCTGCTATGGTATACACTTACTCATGTATTATATTATCCATCTCCTGCTGGAATGTAAGCTTTGGGAGGACAGAGATTTGTGTTAATTCCATTAATTGACGGATCACCAGCATTTAGAATAATGCCTCCACCTAGTAGATGCTAAAAAACTGTGTTGAGCTTACATTCATTGTGGCACTGTTTACAAAAGCAAAGACCTGGAACCAACCCAAATGCCCATCAGTGATAGACTGGACAAGGAAAATGTGGCACATATACACCATGGAATACTATGCAGCCACAAAAAACGATGAATTCGTGTCCTTTTTAGGGAAATGGATGAACCTGGAAACCATCATTCTCAGCAGACTGACACAAGAACAGAAAATCAAATACAGCATGATCTCAGTCATACACAGGTGTTGGACAGTGAAAACACATGGACACAGGGAGGGTAGCATAACACACTGGGGTCTATTGAGGGGGACTAGGAGAGGGACAGGGGGGTAGGGAGGTTGGGGAGGGATAACATGGGGAGAAATGACAGATACACGTGATGGAGGGGTGGAGGCAGCAAACCACGTTGCCATGTATGTACCTATGCAACAATCCGGCCTGATCTGCACACGTACCCCAGAACCTAAAGTACAATTTAAAAAAAAAAAAAAAAAAAAAAAACTGTATTGAGAATATGAGTGAAAGTTTTCCTGTTTCTGCCTCAGAGATCGGCCCCATGATAGTTTATAATTCTAGAGTATTATATTGTAGCCAGGATGCAGAAAATAACTACTAGGAAACACTGTATCCCTGACATGATTGCATATGGTCTTTTATTCTAAACTGAAAACAGTTTCTCTTGAATGTTACAGCAGTGTCACAGATACTGAAAATGTATGACAACATGATAGAGCCTTGATATTTTAGGAATATGTTCAGAGTTCTTCATAAATCCTGTCAATTGTGGAGACCATGATATGGTCTACTCACATGAATTTCATATATAGCAGTAAAAAGAAAGAAGGGAGCCACGTGGAGCTCCGGAGGCCAAGTGGCTGGCGGGCTCAGTGGTTGGGAGGAAGCTCACCAGACAGCTTAGTGGCAGCTCGTGAGCCCTAGACATTACCTGCATATTGTTGTAATCAGGAATATGAGTTCTGTGAAAGCCAGCTATCCATTATATCATTTTGTTCTATTTGCAAAAGAAATTTAAATACTAATTTTAAAAAGTTAGCTCTCCCAGGCTTCTGGTTTTAGAATGTAAATGTGTGGTTCTTATTACAACCAATGGGCAAGGTAACTCCACCGTTTAACTTACTGTTAAAAACAACTATTTATAACAAAGTGAGTTTTCACTTTGAGATCAAACAGCAAGTAAACATTCATTCAGTTTGATTTTGAACATCTGGGAATAAACTGAATATAAACAAAAAGATTGCATTTGTTTTCACTTTTAAGCTGATTTTAAAATATATCTATATCTATCTTTCTTCTAGTTTAATGGAATCTGCCATAATGACTTTCTTTAAAAAAAAAAATTAATGATAAACAGGAATCTTTGACAAAGAAAGGCTGGAGTAAAAAGAGAGGATGCAGTTGCCATGGTAACAGCAGTCCAGCATAAACATCTCAGATCTCTTCTGTTTATCATGTGTTTTAGGGCAATTCAAGCTGCTGGAACAAGACCGAGATATAAAGGAGCCAGTGCAATATTTCAACAGTGTGGAGGAGGTGGCTAAGGCATTTCCTGAACGCGTGTACGTCATGGAGGATATCACATTCAACGTGAAGGTAGCTCTTGAAGCACCAAATATTTATGCTCACTAAAAATAATTTAACTTTCACGTCTGGATGTACACAGTAAGTGTTCATCTGGGCTCCAAGGAAAGTTTCATCTTCCAAATGGCAGTTAGCGGCAATAGCCAAACCACATGCATTGTAGCTGACCTGACTCCCTGACTGCTTCTTTATTTATTAGCATTATCTTTTGTTAGAATTTAAAAATGATCTCTGAATTCAAATAAGTGATATGTTTTATAATTTGGACTTCATTTCCCAATATGTAACACTTTAGCAAGATCTCCACTTCTGGGAGCAAAAGGGATATGATGAAACTAAATAATTCCAAATACTTAAAGAAAGAAAGAGAGGAAACATAAAGAGAAAGAATAGGTTTCTAAGCATTGCTTGAAGTCAGCATGTATTCATTCCACTCTTTTTGGAATATCTATTTCACCATACACAGGGAAAACTGATGTTGCCCAGAGAAAAGCTATATAGTGTTTGTTGTGCTCCATTTGTTCTGCCTTCTTAAAGGGACAGTGCATTCCCCCTCCAGATGATGAGCGAGGTCCTTTGACTAGACTTGCTGTTGAAGAGGAACTGACCAGAGAAGCAAGCCACCAACCAGGCCCATCCTATTACCTGCAAATCCTCTACATTTTCTCCAGCAATACCCACAATTACACTAAAACATTTTAGAAAGTGTTCATATTGAAAGAGTTTTCTAAATCATGTTGTCAGAACATTTCAAGATTTAGGGGGGCAAAATTCCCGTTTCTTAATCTACTCTGTGTGAAAAACAGACTGCATGGTGTCTTGGCCCGAGAATGCATTAGTATCTTTATGGATGAGTCACTCCACCCACACTCTTCAGGAAAGGGAGAAAATGCCCAGGACAGCCCTCTTATTGGAGAAATGGTTCTGCCCATTTCATTGTCTAAGCTAAGTCATTTCTTCTTCCATTTCTGAAATACAACTGCTTTGGTCTACACTCTTTAGTTTTATTATTAAGATGAGTGAGATTTTATATTTGTAAAATCTTTACTAAGTAAATTATGCTTATGTACAAAAATATTTTATCATTTTCAACTTTTTTAGTGGCTCTAATATATGAGCGTTCAGGTCAACTAGACAACTTGCATTTATTTACATTGAAAACTTGTGCGAACATGTTCATTTTTAAACATACCTAGACTCGTTGGTCAGAAGTTAATCAAATCCTATTCCATTCATGTTTTGATATGACTTAAATCTCTCCCTAAAACTTATATTTAGAAGTCTCTAAATGAAAAAAGGAAAGTGTTTTTAGAAAGGAAAGTTAGCACTTTTAAACTCCCTTCTAGAAAAAGATTACATTTGCTAATAAACATAGAAATCAAATGTAAATTTTAAGTGACTTTTAAAGATTTTCTCCATTATTAAAATGTAACATTCCATCTTTTGTCACATTCATGTAAACTATTTTTTAAAATGCCTCTAGCAGCTTTTCTTGATGAGTTTGTATTAAATCAGGAATGACTGAGAGGATAATACTGAAATTTATACATTTTGTTAGAATTCTTTTTTTAAAGTAGAATACCATGACTGAATGTATTCATTAAAATGTGTTTAACAGAGAATGTCATTTAAGAGTTCAAAGGCACAGTTAAGTGTGTGAAATGTGAGCTTCTAGCATCCATAAAACTAATTGGATTTAGGTTGAGTTCTGTGCTGTGCAAACATAAATATTTAATATTTCTAGTCTGCTACTTACGAAGTTTTAAGGTGCCATCACCTCTAGCTTGCATGAATCATTAAAACATTATTCAATTCTTTTCAAATAAGGATTGTCATAGGAACCTTGGGAAATTTAAATAAAGAAATACACAAAAGGTTTTGTGCTTAGTGATAAACACACAAGTAAGTAAATAAACTAAGGATAGTTATGGAAAAATTCATCTGGATACTACCTGAACCAAAAATAATGGCTGGAAGTCATGGCCTTCTTTAATTAAAAATAAACTGGATTAAGCCAGGCATGGTGGCTCACTGTAATCCCAGCACTTTGGGAGGCTGAGGCAGGTGGATCACCTGAGGTTAGGAGTTCAAGACCGGCCTGACCAACATGGTGAAACCTCGTCTCTACTAAAAATATAAAAACTAGTTGGGCATGGTGGCACGCACCTGTGATCCCAGCTACTCTGGGGGCTGAGACAGGAGAATCACTTGAATCCAGAAGGCAGAGGTTGCGGTGAGCACTGCACTGTAGCCTGGGCAACAGAGTGAGACTCTGTCTCAAAAAAAAAAGACTGGATTATCATGTCTGTGTGAGAACTGACAATTATGCAGAGAAGGAGTTAAAGAAATAATTTTGGTTATTCTCATGGAGAAGGTGGGAAAAAGCCAAAAACAATACTCTTCATTCATAAATGTAGCTATTATCCAAGAAACAGTTTTTAAAAGAAAGATTTCACACCTCTTTAGAAGAGTTCACCGTCTCTCCTATACTTCAGATACAGCATAAATTAAACCAAAAGGATAAACCATTGAGGAAACCACTTGAAGTTAAAATTGTTAGTTACCTGGCATTATAATAGTCAAAAGACATAATTATTGTTGGAAATAAATATACATATGTACCTTCATATATGTATTTACAAATCCAAACTGAAGTTAGTCATAATAAGAATATAAAATAAAGCAAAAGTATTGAAAGAATGGGAACTCTAGTTCTGGGTTTCTTCCTAAACTGTAGCAAAATTTTAAATTTAATGGCTGCCACTAGTACTATTTATACATTTGTTTAAAAATGAAACATTCTTTTTCATTTGGAACTAAAAATTGTTTTTAAAATATACCTCAATGTGTTTAAAACTATCTGCCTGAATGCCCCCATATTGATTAACTGCATGAAATGAACTCATATGTACATAAGTGTTTAATTCTTTAACCAGCAAATATATTTTGAGCACCTACTGTATGCCCAGCACTACTCCAGGCACTGGGGGTAAATAGTGAATATGTAGGTCCCTCTCTGCGTGGAGATTACAGTCTAGAAGGGAAAGTAGACAATAAGTACATAAACGAATATCAGTACTACCTCCAAGTAGAGATATCACGAATCAGTTGGATCTACAGGTCTGAAACTTAGAGAAAGTCTAGGCTCAGAATATATGGTTGGGACTCACCATCTTCTGGAAGATGTTTGAAGCCGTGGGTCTAGTTGAGTTTACCTAAACCAATGGTTCTCAGCCAGGAGTGACTTTGTTCCCTAGGAGACATTGGCAGTGTCTGTGCACAGTTTTGATTGTCATGACTGTGGGGTGGAGGATATTACTGTCATCTGGTGGGTAGAGGGTGGGGATGCTACTGAACATTCTGTGATGCACAGGACAGGCTCCCATAACAAAGGGTTATCCAGTTTAAAATATCAGCAGTGCCAAGGTTGAGAAGCGTTCATCTAGATTCAAGATTTAAAAAGAGAGGAGGTCTGAGGACTGCGCCCTGGAGTGCACCAGCATTTAGGGAATCTAGAAGGGAAGACTGGATGGGACAGCAGTAAGGTAGAAGGATGGCCAGGAGCAAATGGTGTCCCAGAAGCCAAGTTTCAAGATGGAATGAGCAACTGTATCAAATGCTACTTAGCAATTGAATTAGATGAGGACTGAGAACTAACCATAAAATTTAGTAAAATGTGAAGATCATTAGCGGCCTCGATAGGAGGTGAATGATAATCAGCTCAGAGACTGGAAAGTGAGTTAACCAGTACGGTACAGTGGGGTGGTCCTAGAGTTTTGTCAAGGTAAGTTTCAAGTGAAATTACTTAGCACCACCCTTTCTTTCTTCCAGCCATTTTCAGCTTCCTAGATGCAGGCATAGAGTAGACAAAGGGAGCTGACCTTAATCAGAGTTAAGGCTCTCCCAGTGAGTGTAGCAGAGATCAGCAAATGGGTTGATGGAGTGTGCCTTAGAGTGAGTGACAGGTTGCACTGAGCCATGGAATCCTCACTGAGGGCTGGGTGTGATGGCTCATACTTGTAATCCTAGCACTTGGGGAGGCCAAGGCAGGATAGGAGTTTGAGACCAGCCTGGCCAATATGGCGAAACCTTATCTCTACTAAAAACATACAAATTAGGTGGACGTGGTGGTGTGCACCTGTAATCCCAGCTACTTGGGAGGCTGAGACAAGACAATTACTTGAACCCGAGAGGCAGAGGTTACAGTGAGCCAAGATCCTGCCACTGCACTCCAGCCTGGGTAACAGAGCAAGACTCCATCTCAAAAAAAAAAAAAAAAAGAATCCCTACTGGGTAACCAAGTGTGAATATAAGTGTAGCCCCAATGAAAATTGAACTTATGTGATAGATAGGCTTTAAAAAGTGAGGTGCAAAATAGGAGGTAGTGGTAAAGTGTAAACCTCTTGAAATGTAACTTTAAGCAGTAAGATCGGTCATGACAGGAGTTAACTCTATTTCAAATCTAAGTATGTCCATTTGAGTGAGCAGCTGAGGTGGTAGAAACAGAATATGGGAGATGAGAAAGTCAAGAAAATAAAAGGATATGTGGGCAGGTTACCTCTCACTGGTCATTTGTATACATTCCTCTAATCCCTGCAAAGCCAATTCCATGTTTTGGGAATAGCAGTCACCTACCTCTTTCACACTTTTTTGTCTTTATCCATCTGGTTTTTAGTTTTCATGGTCAGAATTTTGTTTCTGTTTGCTTGCTTTTCTGCATGTTTGTGTGTTTTTTAACTGTAGTAAGCTTTTTCTCTCTTAATTATCTTAGAAATTTTTTCATCAGCCATCTTTCTTCACATGTTTACTTCCAAAGTCAGATGTCCCCTTTTTGAGTTGGCCATTCCAACTGAAGGCTTGTACCGCTCCTTTTAATAAGAAAAACAGCCGCACTAACAATTTTCAAGCCATATATTTTTCTTCAAACAAGCCATCATGATTTAAAGAGTAAGTTGTATTGTGTAGTGGCTCAGGTTCTGAATTCAGAGCTGACTTCAGAACCCTGCTCCAGG